AGTATGTTGCCAATATCAAGCTCAACTGCATTGAGTTGTCGATACCAGCGGACGATTATTTGACATCACATTTGAGCTGCTGTCTACGAATACAACGGCCGCATGATGCAGGAAGGCGGAGATGATACCGTTGCAAGCATGAAGAAAAGTTGAGAGCATTTCGGCGCGATGGGGCGAGCAGACCCCAAGCAGAAACAAATCGACGACACCCGCCAGCGGAGCAGACAAGGTCATTAGCCCCCGGGATGTTCCAAACAAACGACTTCCTCCGTTTCGATCTCGAATATCTCGAACAGGCTGTCACCATATATGAGCCCCCACTACCCCCTGACCACGAAGATGTTCGATACCGACTTTCTTCGGTTCGATCTTGAACATCCTGAGCAGGTTATCCTCATCCCGACCAAATACAACAGTCAGATTCTAATGGAGAGAGATGCCGAAGGAGTTGTTGCAAAGATGAAAGAGAGCTGTGAGTGTTTCGTGGAGATGAGGACAGACAAGATCCTTAACTATGGACACGTTTGAGAAGAATGGTCATCTTCGGTTTGGTCCGGGATATCCACGGCGGGCTGTCAATATCCCAATCAAGAACTGCTGTACTTGGTTGGGATCAGCGCAGACTGTCGTGGGTGTTCCATATCAAACTACAACAGTCGGATCCGCATGGAGAGAGACGTCAAAGAAGTTGTGGCCAAGATGAAAGAGAGCCGCGAGCGTTTTGGGGAAATGGAAAGAGACAAAACTATTTCACATGGACAAGTACGATCCACCATTCTCATACAACTTAAATCGTGGAGTCCAGAAACGTAATCGTCAAACGGCACTGGACATGTTTGAGTTGAACGACTATCTTCGGTTCGACGTAGAGAACCCATGGTAGGCAGCCATTATCATGACTAAATACCACGACCCCTCTATCTTCTCTATACTACTTGGTTTGGATAATGACTGTCTGTCATGGGCTCTAGAGGTCGAACAGCAGCCATCCCGAACCAGATCAAGGCGTACCTCAACCCCAAGCCACGAAAGGTGGTCTCAACCGCTGAGGGCCCTAACAACTAGTAAATCTACACAAAGACCCTTCAGCAATAACTACACAGGAAGGTTGATCAAGGATATATCAGGAGCATTCAATGGAGCACATCCGTGACAGTTCAAGGCATTAACGAAATAGTCACCAAGATGAAAGAAAGCCGTGAGAGCTTTGGTGCATGGCTGAAGGGACGACGACAGGGTTCTGGTATCAACTGCAAGTAACACATCTAGTTCTCAATTCAAACCTGCCCCAAATACTTTGACGGTTTCTGCAATGCCTGTTTCACGAAAACTGGAAGATTGTGAGATGTCCCTAACCTAGGTGAGATGACAAGATAGCAGTGGATAGTGACCCACCTCATGAACTGCTATTCCACAAACAGAGGTCTTTGGAAACTCGCATGTTAAATACCACATTCAATGTCTGAGGAGTCAGTGTCTGAGGAGCCTGATTCTTATGATAGCCAGAATAGTCAAATATTTCAATACACCGCGCTGCTGAAGGTGTCAAGAACAATTCCAAGGCTACAAGAACAGTTTTGATCTTTTTTATCGCAAATTGTTATAAATATGATTGAGATGTTTTTATCATGCTAGAGTCAACAAATTTAGGTGCAGTAGTGATATGCTCGCTATCCGATCGGACTTGTAGTCCGTGGACAAGTATGAGCCTCCGTGTGACTGCCTATGATCCTGCATCTGATGAATAGCGAAGGGAAGGAGGACTGGCCAATTTCAAGTCTGTAAGCACGAGGTCATCCTCTAAGTGTCTTTAACTACTCCTGAATATTAATCTTGGATCGGAGGACAAGCCAGGGTATTACATGTACACTACGCTCAACCCTGGAGAAGTCAGGAGTTTTGAGGGAACATAAACGACAATATATAGAATGTATATGAATGCTTGGATTCCCAGCCCGTCTTCTCTCTCAGCAGCTATTCCAGCATCACCAGATAAAGTGACAATTTCTCAGAAACGCGAATTCTGAATTTTAAGACATGAAAGTTCTGATACTTCTGATTTCAACAACCTGTATGCTTTGTGAAGCCCAACAGAGTCCTGCGCACTTTTGCGTGACAGGGTCTACTAAAGGACCATCCACCTCCTATTACACCCAAGGGTAGCGCTCAACCCCAGTTCCAGAGATATTCGATGTTCTTCTTGTTCATATAAGTATCGATGATAGGGGAAAGCCTTTTGTAAGGTCGACTGCGATACTTGGCGTGTCTTGCGATCGGTGGTGGGTGGGCTCAGGGGTTCAGCGGAAACAGAACCTTGGAATCAACGATGGAAGTCAGCACACTGCATAATTCTTGATGAAATATAAAGTGAAGATAGATATTTGTAATGTGATCATGATTGAACACAAGTCATCCGCATAGGAAATCCCAGAAAAAAAAGCGTCGCGTTTGACGATTCGATGAATCTCAACCAAAAGCTCAAATTCAAACGCCAGACAGCATCCTGTGTGCGAATCAGTTGGCTCCAGGTTTTCAAGCAGCAATCGGTTACCCATAATAATGATTACTTAGAGTCATTGGTGCCCTTGTTCATGGTCAGCCATTGGGGTGTGGGATCTGTGAGCAGCACCAACTTACCCCTTTGAATCTAACACTTGAGTGGGAGCACCTAGTCACTCCTTAATACAGCAGATTACTGTTGAAGCATATAGGACCTCGGGTTTGTCGCTATCAGGCGCGCAACTGTTCGTGGTGGAAGAGGATTTGGCTGTCGGTTCCTGCACTCCGAGTTACCCCTGAACGCCCCTGTAGCCACTTCAGGACCAGCACACTTGATTAGACTGCGAAGGACAAATAAGGACAGACTGAAACAGCTCAAGAAATCTTGGTAAGAGTCATTGAAGGCCAAGGAGTCGAAGAGCCTCCTGGGTCATCTGGTGGCAGCTCTTCACGTCCTTTGGTCGCAGTGTCGTGATTGGTCTCTGGGCAAGGGAAGGAGAGCCAGACGGAAAGAAACAGTTCTGAGTTTCTGAAGAAATCCCTATATATCTCTGAAGGTTTGAGGAGCCGAGCTATCAGTGTGATACCATCTCTCGTGTCTTCGTGGACTTGCCTTCTCATAGACCATACAGGCGCTCAACACAAGCGAGACACTTACGAGCCAAACACCTAGCGGCTTCTTGTCTTGATGCTCTCATTATCTCAGAAAGAATATTGGGAAAGCATAGAAGCGTCCTGTTCCACTCTCTCCGCTTCCTGAGGAGCTCGAGCTGGCCGTCTGGCTCAAGAGCGCCGCGCCCCTGGGCATATTAGCCCTTGTTCCTACATCATCCAATAACTCTGGAGACAGAGAGAAAAGATTGTTTAGAACTCATGATGGCGCTACTGCTGTGATATGTAGGGTTGAGGGTCCGCTGCCGCTGAGGTTGCTGCTTGATCGTTCGTTGGATGTCGTCTCTTGTACCGTCTCACATGGTTTGTTACAAATATCTGCATCTCATGACGGTCAGTACGAGGGAGAAGCTCAGAAAATATGACAGAAGTCTCTCCAGTATGTACCTGAGTTGTTGAGGGCCTCTGTACAGCGTGGGATATGCACGAACGCTGAGACATCAGTCACCACCATCACCGCCAAACATGAATTCCATTATGCGGAAGAAGGACAAGGTAAAGGGAAGTTGTTAGCCGTCGTGCTAGGAAAGTTTGGCTCGTTGGAAAGGTCAGGCATCGTTGATTGTTGCAAGTATCAAAGGAGTACCGGAAATCAGGGACCATAACCCAAAGACTGGGGCAAACACTTTGATATTAGACAAAGACTACAATCCCTGAATAGCATCAAACTTAATGGCATTAGGGCGAAATGGAATGTTATAGGGGGCCTGTACTGGAAATGACGTACGGGCTGCATGGACTTAGTGGAGGGGTAGTTCTGGCGAGTCCCAGGGGCCCAGCGTTGTGAATAACCTCGCTCGCACCGCCAGACACTCGACAACCGAAACATCAGCACAACGTATCTACAATGCAAATATCAGTTTTCAGTATACAATAGAGGTCAGATAACGAGCGAGGATAGTTTATTTCAAAAGTGCACGCATGTTGGAAGCATCATCGTGGAGTAACAGACGAGCATATCTACATGTACAGTATACAGATCACCATCACGAATAGCCCCAACACCACGGAGACATCATGATCAATAGATAGATACGACCTCAAGAGATGCACCAAGGTACCTAGTCAAAGCTTCGGAGTCACGAGCGGGGTTGGCGGGCCCAAGGACCGATCATCGGTCTCAACTTGGGAGTTCAACATCGTGATATCACGAGACCTCATGAGACCAGGCGAAGTACACAACTCGCACACATATTAATTCAGTAAAGGAGAAAGAAATTAGATATGCAGGAATGGCCTCGTGAATCAAGGAGAGGAGAGAAGCCGTTGCCGGGGCAGCAAGAGGTTGAGACGCGTTCGTCGTTGAGATTTAGGTACCGAGCCGCATATATATCAGACGCAATAGGGGGCTAGATGAGTTTACTAGGGGAAATACACTCTTGATATGTCTCTATTACACGTGGGTCCCATCTGCTGAGTCTCTGTAAACCAATAAGTTCGCCTACTACGTCCCTGCAACTTAGGTCCCTGAGGCTAGCTTCTCCTCTACCTTGGCCTGCAACCCACCCGTCTGCTCCTGCCATTATTCCTACCTGCACCCCGCCTATTCTCAACTTGCCCTGAGGCAGCCCCACTCACGCATCTCCCTCCTACTCAAGTCGCTCCCAGCTTTCCTTCCCCTCCTCCCTCTCTTCCTTTCTTCTTCACCCACCTCAACATCATTCCGACTTCACTATCCAACTTGGATGTGGGACAGGATCTTTGGGTTTTGATCTCGGTCGCATTTCTTCTTTCCTTTCAGCTTCTTGAGAAGCACGCATACAAGTCAAACTTCAGATTTCATCTACTCATCATTTTGTTGTGACATCTTGTCTTCCTCCATCGACAACATGTCTTCTCGTGCGGACCATCGTGTCTACGCAAACATGTCTTCTCCTGCTGAGGGAGCTGCTGACTCGATCCAGGGTACCCCCAACACCCAGATCACCGTCTTCTCTCCTGCCGAGAGCTCCCAGGGCACTTCTGTCCAGGGCAACAACTATCTTGGTCAAAGCCAGGCCCCGGAAGACCCGTTCGTTGATAGCAGTGTTTCCCATGGGAGTACTCTGTCTGCTACGGCTTCTTCCTTCGAGCCCCTTGGTCAGAGGTTCAAGGGCAAGAACGCACTCGTATTCTACCCAGAGGGTAGTCCCACTGTCGCTGGAGCTCTAAGCCACGATATGGACATCTCACACCGCATCGAGGTCTGTGACACTCCTGCGCCTTCCATCGTCGAACTCGGCAATTACATCACTGTAAGTACCATTTGTGATCTAGTGAAACGCAAAATGTCCTGACGAGTTTATAGGAGCTTACCCAAAAGGGAGTCAGGTTCCACGGCGGACGCAACCTGGAGACTGACGGAGGACATGTGTACGTCGTCTTCGAAGACCTCCGTGATGCCGCCTGGGCCTTCTACGCCATTCGAAAGGCCCCCAAAGGCTGGTTCACGGCGTACGTGAAGATCCGACCTGAGCGCGTAAGTTTCTTTCCTCATCTCACCTCTTCATTCTTTTGCTAACTACATTGTACAGCTGGACCTTGGCCTTGTACGATTCTCCGAGCTTAGACAGCTCAGCATCGAGGTCAACGTTCTTAACTTTTCCATCATCGATCCAGCTCATGTTGATGAGATCGCCCAGCGAGCCCTGAATGTCTACGGCCAGCTCTTTGCGCTGCTCAGACACTTGAGTTACCCCAACGGAGCCTTCCGCGGTGTCGCCCAGTTCTGCAAGGCTGCCGACGCCTTCATCGCTTTCAAGGCCTTCGGTAACGGCGTTACCACCGGCGTAAGTCTTCTCTCATCAATTTCTCTTCCCATTTTCTAGTATCTCTTCCTCTTGATCTCTTCTCATACATCGCCCCCCTCCTCTCCCAACAAGCTCCGTCTTCAGATCCTTCTTCCTAAGTTGTATTCTCTAACCTGGTCAGGGCGTCGTCATTACCCTGTCTAAGCCAGAGGACGTTGGCAATGCAGCCTCTGTCGACAACCAACTCGCTGGTGCCTTCGGGAATATGACCATCCAGCAAGGTACCCGCGGTGTCGACCGAAGTCGTCACCAAAGCTTCTTCGCGCTCAACGCTCCACAGGGAAACCCATTTGCAGCAGCTGGCGCTGCCAGCATTCCATTTCCCCCGACCCTTCAGCAACAGCCCTTTACTGGGCAGCAGTTTGGGCCCCCCGGCGCGTCCAACACCCTGGCGCTTACTAACCCAAACGGCTTCGGGAGGTTCGACCCGCGTCGAGGTGCTGGCCGGTATGGTCGTGGCTCTCGTGGGCTGAACAACATTGTTGACCTCAACGAGCTCATCGCCGGACGTGACGTGCGAACCACCGCAAGTCCTACTGCCCTCTCTTGCATCACCATCAGCCCTGACATCTCGATAGATAATGCTTCGCAACATTCCGAACAAGGTGGACCAGCCTCTTTTGAAGAAGATCGTGGATGTTTCCTCTTTTGGCCGGTACGACTTTATGTACCTGCGAATTGACTTTGCCAACGATTGCAAGTAAGTACAAACCCCAGTGATACCTGACTCCAATACTGACCATTCCCCAGCGTCGGCTATGCCTTCATCAACTTCGTCAAAGCGGAGTACATCATCGACGTCAGTTACCGCTGAGAATATTCCCACCTTGTTGATATTCTAACTTGAGGGTAGTTCTTCCAGGCACGAGCTAACAAACGCTGGAACTGCTTCCGCTCGGACAAGGTCGCTGAGATCTCCTATGCGAGTAAGCTTTCCTTTCTCTCCTATTGTGCCGCAGTCACTGACATACAGCAGCTATCCAGGGAAAGGACTGCCTTGTGCAGAAGTTTCGCAACTCGTCCGTGATGCTCGAGGCAGAGCACTATCGTCCGAAGGTCAGTGGCCGATGGCTTACTATTCACCTTCAACAACTAATAGATAAAGCTGTTCTATACTATTCACAGTGATGATCCCAGCCTCGTGGGTCGAGAGGAACCGTTCCCTGGCCCGGATAATCAGTCCAAAATGAAGCGCTCGGTTGAGAACGCTGAACACGTTGGTAAGCAGTTCTTCATGATCAACCGCAATGACAAGTCACTGACATACTATAGGACTCTTCACGCCTACAGCTGGGCAATACTTCCGTGACGAGCAGCGTCGTCGTCACTCCCAGTACGATCGCGGCACTCGCTTGGCTGAACTGGAGGAAATCTCCTATGGGTCAGGTGTCATCCCCTACCACGGTCGTGGTCGCTACTAAGCGAGCGCCGGACATCACCCGGAGACTATCTTGATTTTTGATCGTTTTGTTTTCAAAAGTCATCTTGAGCTTTGGAGTGGTTGATCTCTTTTGATTCTCTTTTGAGATCTTGAGGTCTTGGGCATGGCCGTAATTAAATTTTCGAAGACCTTTGAATGGTCTGACTATTCTGCAGGATCTCCTTTGGTACAATCTCCATTGGACTCTACCCCTAAGTAGCAGCAACTGGTAGCATCTTGATGCACGTAGATACCTAGTACTTGGCAAGCGCAGAATAGATTTCATCAGCCAAACCTCGTGATGTGCTTTGTGACAGTAACATTGTAGCAAAGGTCACCAAGCAGACGCTAGATCACGCTAGACACAGATGTTTAGATTTTAACTGCAGTGCTATGACGCTTTTCGTTTATTGATTCTATTTAAGACGTAGCTAACAGTCAACAGTCATGGAGAAGATGGATTCTCGGGTAGCGCTGGTAATGGTTTTCGCGAATTGGTTGGTTGCACGATCGGGCGACGCAACACATTCGGCTTCGCGTCGTGGGAAGGGGGCGATAGATCAGACGACGAAGAAAAGCCTCCAGATGATCTTGGCGTTGGAGGAGGTGAAAGCTGCTCGCATTCAACACGATCATGATGTATCTCGTCGGCAAAAGGCCCTCGTTGTAGTTCAGTAGCACCATCGTCTGCTCTTGATGTAAGAGCATATTGGCTTCTCTGACGGGCTGCCAGTAACGCTGTATCTTCTCCGCCGTATGCACCTCCATGCATGGCTCGAACGCGAGCCGCCGATGATGCACCGTCGTAGGAAGCAAGACCAGCCTGATCCGAAAATGGTGCTAGGTGATGTAGTGGCACGCCTCGGGAGAAGATGACGAGGATCAGACATGACATGAGTAACACGGCTTGTACTATGGCCATGCGTTTCTGAAAGACGACCTCGTCGGCCAGGAGGTTGAGGCGAGCGCTGAGAGCAACTATCTCTCGGTTGGACTGCTCGCGCTGACTCTCCAGAGCCAGGACCGTTGACTGCCAGATCTGATCGTACTGCTCACGAACGGAGCGCAGCTCGGCGAGGACGGTCTTGTTGAGGTTCTCGAGGAACAGTGTCGTTTTTGAAAGTTGCTTCTGCTCTGTGCGGTGCAGAGTCTCGGACATGTGGCGGGCTTGGTCCTCGACGTATTTGAGGGAGAGTGTGAGGTTGGTTTCAACGATTGTAAGGCGCTTGGAGATGGACTTGAAGAACCCTTCTTGAACAGTTGGCGAGGCCGGTGAGCCAGAGGCCGTTCCCGTGGAGCCCTTCTTGGCATTAACAGTATTGGCAGGGGAGGGCTTCTGAGTAGATGATGACGTCGAGGAAGATGGTGTTGCTGTCGTCTTTGTGCCTGCTGCAGAAGTGGTGGAGTTCGAAGGGGATTCGACGTTGGAGGATGAGATGGAGGATGGGCTGGTCGGGGACACAGCGGGCGTGGCGCTTGGAGATGCAGTGGTGGAAGATGATGAGGCCGTGGGCTCTTCACTTGCAGGGTGCTCTGACCGGGGAATGTGTGGTGTTGAAGTCCCCTTTTGTGCCCTCTCGTCAGGGGAGTTGGTTGTGGATGCAGCACTGGTGACTTCAGCAGAGCTGCTGGGGTTTGAGATTGGTTGTGCAGTTTGATTGAGGGAGGCAGAGCAGAACAACGGCTCAAAAAGTAGTTGCGAAGCGGTGTTGACCTCACAGAATGGCATTAATCCCATCGAGCTGGGCTTAGCAGGCTCAGGAGGACTCTCGAGCTCTTGGGATTTGGCAGGCTCTTCTCCTGAAGGGAGAGCTTGAGGAGTCACTTTGGCCTCCTCAGCCTCATTCGTATCATCGTTACGATCTTCGTTGAATGCAGCGAAGAAGCGCGAGCCATGGATTCGCAGTAATGAAACGGGGCAGTAGTACTGTTTTCCGTAATGAGTGAGATAGTCGATGCGGACATACTTGGAGAAGATCTGGGCATTCTCTACCAAGAAGGGCTGAATAGCTCGTGAGTTCTCTGCCTGAAAGACTCCGATCTGTTTCCACTCGTCCCTCTTGACTGGGTACCGGTCACTAACGCTGACAGTAAAAGTTTGGATCATACTAGAAAAGAACTCGAAGTTGGCGAGGACAACGGTATCGATGTAGACATCATCGCTCAGTTCGACAATAAACCACTTCTCCTTGGCACTACACTCGAAGAGTAGGTAAGAGTCTTTGTTCTCGACGAGAATTGCCTTTGCATTCCTTGCGCCGGGGCTCGTCTTGAGAATGGTGGCGCCGGCATCGAAGGACGAGTACGAGAAGCGTTCCTTGCAAGTCTTGCCAGCATCTTTGTTTCTATGGATTGCAACACCACGGCCATCCTTTCCTGATCCCTCGTTCTTAGCTTGTTCGAGATCTGAAGGGCGCTCTTGTTGCTCCCCCGTGTCATCCATGTAGCTGCCAAAGTTCAGGGATATCTCATCTTCCTCGCCGAGACCACCGTAGCCCATATCCGGGGGTGTCCTGTCGCGGGGCTTGGCGTTTCTGTGTAGGTTTTGAGGGTCCTGCCCTGTCTGTTTCAACATCATGGCCTTCCAGTCCTCGAAAGACATGAAAGGCTTTGCATCTACATCTGCAGCGGCGTCTTCCGGGTCATCTTTGGCGGCAGTGGCGGTGGACGCTGACGGTTGGGACTGGGATTGGGAAGGGGACTCGCTTTGTGTGTTTGGGGGTGGCGCATCGCTTTGTGTCGAGTCGGGGGAGGCGTCGGAGGTCGAATTGGCATCTGAAGGGGTTGCGCTAACAGAAGTGCTCGTCCAGGAGCTTGTGAGGCAAGCTTGGGGCAGCGTGTGGGTAATGTAGTTGATGGTTCGGGCATCGCAGGTCAAGTCGATTTGGTCAGGGATGACATTGGGTTCGTGGGACTGGGCCTTGGTCTGGGCTTGTGTCCAGGCTGCGATGAGTGCCAGGGATCGTAGAAGGGCTGAGCCTAGCGAAGGCATCGTGACCTCGAGTGTTGGCGGCACATTGAAGCGTCGCTGAGGTCGAATTAATGGAAATGATGTTGAATTATGGATGGAGGTTGGGTTTGTGTCGTGTCGTTGATCAGCGTCGGACTAGACACGAAGTAGGTGTAGCGTATCCCGTGTACCTTACCCCGTAGCCCAGGCTCGTTTAACTTCAGCGTGGCCCACTGACGTTGTCAGATGCTGATTGGTGCACCAACAGTAAAGTGTGTCTTGTTGATTAGATCCATTTCTTAGATCGAGGTAAAAATAGAAATTGGGCGTTGATGACTTACACACGGAAACACTCGTTCACTATGGCCTCTATAATTCGTAAAAGACTCGAAACTGGGGGCCTGACTAAAGACGCGACCTCGTTGTTGAGGCCAATGCCATGAAACAGGGTGGATTGACATTGGACGAAGTAGATTTGAGAAGAGAGATACCAAGCTGGTGGGCATTCAGCTAATCATGAACTGTGTGTTTGTTGATACTAGGCCCAAAATCTCAGGACAAGAGATACAGAAGCTTAGTAGAGTATACCTTGATTAATGATGGGCATCTGCGGATAATGCGAGTTCTTCACTATACGGTCCTGTGCTTTAGAAAAATGGCTTGGAGGAATAGCATCGCCTTTAGATGACTTGATTTCAGTGTGTTTTGAGGTTCAGAAAAATTACAAAGAATAACCAAGGTATATAGACTCGGGTATCTAGTGTTTGATGAGTCCAGATTGAGACGGTGACTCCCCTTAGGTAGATAGAAGGGCGATGTGAGAATTGACATCCATGTAAATGCCTTTGCTTGATACCGATGAAACGGTTTGCTTTAGAGCAACCTGTGGGGTGACTAAATTGTTTTATTTATTATCAAGTTCATTTCAAGATGTTTTCTATATAAATTTCCCTTCATTTGAGTCACACTTTGTTGCTTACATGGATGCCTACCTCCTTTGTTAGTTACACTTGGCGGTTGTGGCCAAACCTCTACTTTACATAGACCTTTCATCACAATCCAATCCAACATCGCAAACACAACAGGGACCAGCCTAATCGAAGCTCGGATACCCTTAATGCCAGATTTATGTAATATTTCTATTTTCTGCCGTCTGCCTCATCCCTGCGCCGCCGCATGCATTGCGACTTTTGAGGGGGCGCTGGCGTGTATAGCCAGATCCCGGCCTCGTTGCCATTGAACGTCCAAGAGCTCGTTGCTGTTGCTTCCCTGTGAGTAATGAAAGAAGATAATGCGCATAACTTATTGACCAATTGTTTCATTCACCAGCCTTTTCTTCCGTATCCTATCCTCCACGTTCTCGCGCGCGGATCCGTGTCATATCGCGACTTGGCATGAGAAACAAAAATACCTGCCTTTCTACGACAACGGATACGCACCTTTCGGCTCATGATCTCATCCATATTCCCTTCCATATGGAGTCATAACGAAGAAATTATCGACAAGATGTTACATGAAGAATCAAAATCAACATCAACATCGCAAAGACCGCCCCACAAAACCCTCCGGCCTACAGAATTCTCCATCGGGTGCCTGCTTTCCAACCAATTCATACTTCTCATTCCTCGAGGTCGACAATCATGATATTATATGTCATCTTTCGCGATTCACGTCCGGGGCCCAAACCCGTACCGATGGAAACCTTACTCAACGTTGGCTGATCCGAGCCACGCCGCAGTGTTGCGTGTGACAATTTGGCCTGCCAAGAACAAAAGTACCAGAGCCAATTTCATCCTCATTTCTAGGTACTTTCAAATAGCCGTGAGGTCTTGATGAGAAACTCCAAGCCAATTAGGAGATAGGAATTTCCTTGGAAGCATGCACAAACAAAACACCCCTGGCTAAAGGCAACACCCAACTCGCCATCATCTGATCTTGTGCAGCGACTTTTAATTAACGTGGGATTGCCAAGAAGGCTCAACCCTCGTTCAATCCCGTCTTTGCCGCCGCCTAAGATCACCATGAACAGCAATGTGAGGCTGGGCGAGAAC